GTGTGTGTGTGTGTGTGTGTTTTTGTTCCAGAGTTAAACATTTACATCAGCATAACCTTGAAAGGTACAAAAAGGTGGAATTAAAATTGAAAGATAATCTCATTAATGTTCAAGTCAATTGAGACCCCAAGAGGAACAATTGCAGAGTGGACCCCAGACACCTCTCTGCTCCTTTATTAGCACCTAATTGATTAACAAGCACACACTTCTTAAATTAATTTTGCCTCCTTTCATCAGACTCCTGGCTCCCACAAACAACAAGTAAAGGAGTGTGTTTCTGTGTTTAGGTTGGACAAAAGCATTGTATTCTGATCACCTGAGAGGGAGATGGTGTTCTCTTTTTAATGCACATTTCTGTATGCAAAAATGATATAAAGAAATACCTGCCTGCACACAAACAGACACAACATGGTGTGTGTCTGTATGTGTGACTTCAAGCTGAGGAATCCCATGGTGTAACTGAAACAACTACATAATTAGTAAGGAAAAACGGCAGTTGATTAGCCTCTTAATGGCTCACTTGTGTTCCCTAGTTTCTTTTTCTGACACACAACCATCATCTACAATCATCATTACCATTACTATTTTATGTTTTTTGTGTGGCCCTGCATGTAATTACATAGAATGTGTGGGCCAATAACCTGGAGATCATTTCTGAGCCTTTCCACTAGCCCTCTCATAATAAACAAGGTCCCTGATGGGGAGCTGGAATATTAGGGGTGTGTTGGCCTAGTGGTTAGAGCAGTGTGCTTGTGCTCTGAGAAGATTGCAAGAACCAGGTTGGATCCCCACAGCCTGCACTCTAAGTTCCTGAGCAAGGCCCTTAACCCCACACTGTTCCCAGTTTACTGCACAGTGGCAGCCCACTGCTCCCTAAGGGGATGGGTTAAATGCAGAGGTAAAGTTCTCCAATGTGGGATCAATAAAGTCAATTATTATTCAATTGTTATTATCAAAGTTTGCACTTATTTTTAGGGTAAGAACTTAGAGTAAGGATTACATTTTTTTTACCTGTAGGCTTTTTAGGCTGGGGGCACAAACTTTGGGAATGCATTATGGCAATATGGCTTCATAACCCCTTTAACACTGTGCTGTTATTAATAAAGTTCTTCCCGCATTGCCATGTAACCTCAAAGAGGTGAACTATTCAATATATTTCTATTGTGCCTCTGACAAGACATAGAATTTGGTTAGTAAAAATCTAGACGTACTTTACAGTAACCATCAAAACCATAATTTATAAATGGTAGAGATCATTTACTAATGACTAACAGATTGACTAACAGTTTATTATTGTTTGATTAATTTACAAACTGCATCTAGAACATTTATTAAAAGTAAATAGATAAATTGTTAAGGTATTAAGCCCTCTAATGTTAGGGTAAATCCAACATTACAAGGCAAGTTAAATTCAAAATAAAGGCGATGTTCAGAAGTCTACTGATATTAGGGATAGGGCTGAACCAACATGGCAGGGCAATACGATCTATTTACCTTTTATAAATAGTTTAGATGCTGTTTATAAATTATCAGACATTAATAAACTATATGCTAATCATTAATAAATGGTCTCTTTACTATTTATAAATGCTGGTTGTGAAACAGTAACTACAAAGCTAGTTTAACTACAAAGACAATTCCCTCTCTAAGTTGCTTGCAGCTGATTAGTGTTGGCTATCCGATTTTTTTGTGTGTCAAAGCTTTTCAGTGTAACTACTTTATCCTAAGGGCAAGCTATTATGTGCAAAACAGACACACTTTGTCGCTCTTTAGCAACATCACACTTATGCACGATGAAGCCAGATAATAACATACTAATAATTACATAATCATTTAGGTACTGTAACTTAAAGGTGTTACTGTGGTGGATTCAACCACCCTCCCACCTTCCATACCAGCTTGGTCCTATTACAAGAAAAAGAGAAAATTCAAATGAAAGTTTTTTGTTTTTCTTTTGTAGAAGGGGCTTATTTTGATGACGCCATCACTCCACAGTTTCTGCAATGACAGTTGTGAATGGTGTATGTTTTAAGTTTCCTCATTTCAACAGCTCTGATTAATAGATGGTTAAGCTAGCCCAAGAATCCTAAAAGCCAAAAGTTTTTAGATTGTAAGATGACTTTAGGGGTGAGAGCCGTATTAGTCTAAAACGGGTGTCCCATTACTGTTCATCCGTTCATCCAGCCAGTCCCATGACTGTCTATCCATCCACTTAGTTATTCAGGAAAAAGAATGAATAGATCCTGAAGTTACTCCGAGCCACTCCTTTCTCTTGAGTATCTACACTGAATAATTAGAGATGGAATTTTCTGTATAAGTCCAGCAGACCTCAAAAGAATTTGTACCTTGAATTTTCTTGATAAGAGGCTTGAGTATTCTCAGTGGTCTTATTTTGCCATTTGTAAAAAGTGGCAGAGCAGGAACTCATACATATAAGCTCATATTATGTAACCTGTTACGCCCCCAAGGTCTAGGGGTTCTGAGGCAGTAACATAAAAATGTGTCCAGAGAAAATAAGTCGAATGTAAAATGATTTATTAAAAAAGAAGATTTAACAAAACAAAACATAATACAACTTAACACAATTAAAACAAAAGAAAAGGGGCAACAAATTGAAGAATGGCTAAAAAAAAAGTCCAAATTCAGTCTAAAGTAAACTCAAAACAACCCAACTGAAAGACAAAGGGAGCATCAAACCTCCCAAACAGAAGCTTTAAGCTGTACAAAGTCCTCCTAAAGCAGATTCAAACAACTGAAGGAACAAGCAAGACAAAATAGTTCAAATTGCCCAAAGCAGTTGTAAACGCCAAAGGTGGGGGAACGGCTTAACAAAACCTATCCCTACCAGCTACCCCCCCAATTGAATGACTTCAGGAGCCTTTTATATGGTGCAGGTTAGCCTCATCAATGTCCGATAGGCTTTACAATCCTCTACTGGTTCAGTGACGTCACTGCTACTCTGCAGTCTTCAGGCAGCCAATAAGAAAGGTGTTTTGTCACAGCTGAACCTGCATAACAAAACAAGCCTTCACAGCCTTAAGAGGCCAGGGGCCGTAACAGAACCTAATTGGTCATAGTCTATAAAAAAAAATGAATAAATGGGGATTGAGATCAAGAAACATCACTTTTTTGGTTTCCCTAAAATAAAACAAAACAACATCAATGTTGCTACAGGTTAATCTTTAATGTCTGCCCATCTCCTTCGCCATCCTATAATCTTGTATTAATAACAACCCTTTACTGATCCCAAACATAGAGTGAGTGAGAAGTTAACCATTTTCTGGTTTAGAACCATGATCTCAGGAGCAACTTATTATGTAATAGAGAACGACAAGATATTAGCTTGCGTCTGAACAAAATAATCAAAAACTGACCTATTTCCTCTCAGAAAAAACATTTAATCTAGGTCATACCACCCAAAAGTACTGTCCTTTCAAGTTGGCTCCTTTCAATTTGAACAAGATATTAGAAAATGAAACTGAAAATGTCATAAAAACTGCAAAAGATTCAAAGGAAAATTCACACAACTTTAAATGGAAGCACCTCTAACAGATTTTGCACTTTTCATAATTTTTTTACCGAAGTGTGTGTGTATATGTATGTATATATATATATAGAAAGAGAGTGAGAGAAAGAGAGAAATGCTCTCCCAATATTTAATTTAAAAAAGGTTTCGACCTCTAATAAAGTCATTCATGGTTTTAAACAGCTGTAAGTAGTCCAATAGAGTTTTCCTTTGCACACAGAATATAAACTGCCACTTCTTATCATCTTAACATCCTTTTTTAGTTACCATTGTAGTCAATTCTCTATCCATTGCTAATTAGACTTGACTTACAATGAACCACTTTTGCTGAGAAAACAACTAACTTGGAAAACTGAGCTTCAGCTGAGCCACTTAATACGTCCTGAGCGTCCCTGTGACTGCTGATCAGAGCTGAGCAGCTTTCCAACACTTCACCGCTTGTATAATTGGCTGACGCTTGTGTTGCAGTTAAGAGTGCCTTCACTGTCAGTAACTCAAAGCCCACGTCTTGCACCCTCACCCCTGCCTGTTGCCATAACAACTAATGCAGAGGCAATGTTAGAAAAATCAATTGGGGATGCTCATGTAATGTGTGCGCTGGCTTCGCCTGATTCAATTTGCTGCTTTTGAATTTGAAAATGTTTTTGGTTTGGTCACACTTCAACTTGATGAGGCTGAAAAGCAGTAAAAATTCACTTCATCTTTTGCCAACTTCAAACCCAGCATGCTGCAGACATGCTGCAATTGTTGAGAAGCTTAAAACTGTGGCTACACTTTGTGTCTGTTTCTAGAAAGTAGATAATCTCTTAGTGTCATTTTCATTTATTATTTTTCTAAGTGACCCTGGAGAGCCAACCGACAGAAATCCCGGGTTCCAGCTAGCTTACGAACAAGAAACTGTAAAAAAAAAAATGGAAGGATTTAAACAAAAGAAGTGGAAAAAGCAGCTGTCTAAGAGAACGTAGCAAACACAGAGGGGACAAGAGTGCCAAAGAGAATGAAGAGCAGATAGGGGATCCGTCCAAAAGAATGGCAGAGTCTGCATTAAAGAGAAGGTGGCTTAGGACAGAGTGAACAGTGGCATGCATCCAAAAAGAATCAGTCTGTGACTCTAGCAGCAACAGAGATGACATTGGCAGGTCATCTGACAGAGAAACTGAAGGCAACTTACATAAAACTCCTAATCGTAGGAAAAAAAACAAACAGATTTAATTATTTGATGTCTATTCTATTTCCAACAGATGTTTTCTCTTCAAGATTTTTTTTCTTGGCTAGGGTCCAGTGCTCTCCTTTACAGTAGCGAAGTACTGTCGAAATAGAAGTGTTTAATATAATTCTGCACAATTTCAAAAGTTTTAAAATAAAGGGAATAGTCATAAACATTAATTTATTTCAGTCTAAATAAAGGAAATTCCTTGTATAGTAAAAACATATTTCAGAACAGTCAATTTAATCAGCACCATTTCCTACTCACCCTGTTGATAAGCTCCCCGACCATGCCGGTCCAGCTGCCATTAGGCTCAGGTGCTCCATACAACCCATCATCCACCAGCTTTATCTTAAAGGAAAACTTTAGAATATCTGCCAACTCTCTCAGCATGTCCACACAAAAACCCTCGTACTGATCGTTTCCGTGAAGGTCCTGGTAATTGGACTTGCGCATCACATACGGGTTTTCCTGTCAGACCAAGAGTAAAATAATAAGGCAGTTGGTTTGAGCATGTTGAACAGAAGAGAAACACAAGCATACCATATTTAATGGTAGCTGAACTACATACTGTATATTCAATAGCTCGTTTGTTACCAGTATAGTGGTGACAATTAAGGATTTGTTAGCCAATGTTTCCGAGGCATTGAGGTCCAAGGAAGTAGAGTTCATGGCCAATGTGTTGTTGGAAAACCAAGTACCAATCTGTGGAAGAGAAACAGGAAGTAAGCATAACCTCATATTTAAGTAAAAAAAGGTGGAAGCTTTTACAAATGAAAGGTTTTATATTTTACTGGTAAAATATAATTTACTACATCAGTGCCTAACTTTGGCTCTATACATTTTTTAGAGCATTAAGTACATTTTTTTGAGGATTTTCAGTTGTACACAAATATACATCTCACATATTGGCAGTGGGCTGAGCATGGTTGTACCAGTAGAGCAATGTAATGTTAAAATCACATCTAAGCCTGTATTCACATATTCCGAGACACCAAACAAAAAAAACAAAAAACTTTTCCAGTAAGTTTTTTTCCTGATTTATATCACCTAAAGCGAACAAGTCAATTTCTTAGCCAGCATGCAAGTCAGCTCTAAACAGAACTGGTAATGAACCGCTGTATTTAAAATGTTCAGGGTATTAGCTCTCAAGGTAGAATTGATCACTCCTGTTTGAAAAAAAAAAAACCCAAAAAATGCATTAAAGAAAATAAAAGTGAACACATAACATATCAAAAATCAGTATTTAAAAATGGCTATATATATGTATATATCTATATATATATAGATATATATAGTATAAAATAAGGAAGTAGGTCCTAACTCAAAAGCATTACTTTAATTATCTTTATAATTTTTTAATTGTCAAGTAGATTTGATCGTAGCTAATTGCATCTGATTGGTCTGAAGATGTCCAGATAATTGCAATCAGGGCTAATCAGGTCAGCTCAATACATTATTGAAGTTAAGATTATGGAAAGGAGAGGATGCTCATTTTTTAAAATGAGACACATTATAGAAGCTCAAAGAAACAACTTGTCATTTTCTAAATCATATATTTTATATCATATTTTGATGTAGAGTAGAAATGTTGTAAGGTTAAAAAAAAAAAAAAAAAAAAAAAATCACCAAATTAACACAACCTGCCCAGATATTTAGATAATAGTCTCAATCAAGAGCCAATAACTACCACTTTTACACCTTTTCACACACACTAAAAGCCTAAGAACCCATTGAGGTTACAACTTGAGAAAAAATAAATCTAAGCAGAGTTTACAGCAGGGTTCTTCCATTGCAGTCCTGCAGGTCAATTGTCCGGCACCTTTTAGACGTTTCTCTGCTTCCCCACATCTGGGTCAAATGGTTGAATTACTTCCTCAGCATGCAGAAAGTTCTCCAGAGTCCTGCTAATGATCTGATTATCTGACTCAGTTGTGTTAAAACACAAAAGCTTCTAAAAGATGGAAGACACTAGACCTCAAGGAGCGGAACTGCAGAACCCTAGTTTACTGTATACAAGCATCTTTAACAGATGGTTATTTGAACAGTTAAATCCCTCATTGAAACAGGAAAAGGATAACAAGTTTAAATATTTAATGAATGGCTTTTGGCTCTCCATCTGACCTCTTTATGGCCTGCAGGGTGTTTCTCCAAGATCTTCAGGGTGTAGTTGGTCCTCTGTCCTTTGCTGTTGAACTCGATGTGACCTGTCAGACCATCATATTCCACCTTTTCAAAAAAGAAAAAAAGAAAACAGATCATATAACTAAAAACAAATGTTAAATTTGTGTGTTTTTACTGACACTGTGTACAGAATTATTAGGCAACTTGTATTTTTGAGGTTTATTATTATTGGGCCACAATTGTGTTCTCAATCAACACAAAAGACCCCTTCATATCGAAGTTTCATATTTATGGAACTTGATGTGTTTTTAAAATTTGGCCATTTTATGAGGATGTCTGTGTGTGCAGGTAAATATTACTGTGCAGAATTATTAGGCAACGTAATAAAAACAAATATAAATCCATCTCACTGGTTGATTTTCTCCAGGTAAAAAAATATAACAACTCAAAATTCAGAAACAAACATTTGCGACCTTCAAAAACAAAACACAAATCAGTGACCAATATAGCCACCTTTCTTCACCATGACGCCCAAAGGTCTTCCGTCCATAGATTCTGTCAGTGTCTTGATATGTTTGCGATCCACATTGCATGCAGCAGCCCCCACAGCCTCCCAGACACTGTTCAGAGAGGTGTACCGTTTTCCCTCCCTGTAGATCTCACATTTCATGAAGGACCACAGGTTCTCGATGGGGTTCAGATCAGGTGAACAAGGGGGCCATATCACTATTTTTTCTCCTTTTAGACTTTTTCTGGCCAGCCACGCTGTAGTGTATTTTGATGCGTGTGACGGAGCATTGTCCTGCATGAATATCCTGTTTTTCTTGAATGATGGCGACTTCTTCTTATACCACTGTTTGAAGAAGGTATCGTCCAGAAACTGGCAGTAGGTCTGGGAGTTGATCTTGACTCCATCATCAACCTGAAAAGGTCCCACAAGCTCATCTTTGATGATACCAGCCCATACCAGTACCCCACCTCCACCTTGCTACCGTCTGAGTCGATAAGGAACTTGTTGCCCTTTACTGATCCAGCCTGGTGCCCATCCATCAGGCCCATCAAGACTCACTTTCATTTCATCAGACCAAAATACCTTGGAGAATTCAGTCTTCAGATATTTCTTGGCCCAATCTTGACGTTTTGCCTTGTTCAAAGGTGGCCTTTTTTCGGCTTTCCTTACCTCGGCCAGGTCCCTGAGTATTGAGCGCCTTGTGCTTCTCTGCACTCCAGACATGTTGTAGCTCTGAAATATGGCACAACTGGTGGCTAACGGCTTCCTGGCAGCTTAACGCTTGATCCTTCTCAATTCACAGGGAGTTATTTTTCATCTTTTTTCAACACGCTTCTTTCGCCCCTGTTGACTTTTTGCCATGAACCGCTTGATTGTGTTATGGTCCCGCTTCAAAAGCTTGGTAATTTCCAAACTGCCGCACCCCTCTAAAAGACATCTGACAATTTTTGACCTTTCAGAGTCTGTATAATCTCTTTTCTGACCGATTTTACGAAAGGAAAGGAAGTTACCTAATAATTAAGCACACTTTATATAGGGTCATTAGGCCACACCCTTTCTCATTACAGAGATGCACACCACCTGATTTACTTAATTGGTAGTTGGCTTTCAAGCCTATACAGCTTGGAGTAGGACAACATGTATGAAAAGGATGATGTGGTCGAAACACTCATTTGCCTAATAATTCTGCACACAGTGTATATAAAAAGTTTAATATATTATCTGTTTGAGGCTGATACCTATTAAAACAGGGAAAAATGTTGTCCATAATGCTGTCACACCTGGTTTGACAAAAATTACACTGAAATGTAAATAAATGTACGTCTTTAGACAAACTACTGCATGAGTAACAATGGGATAATTATTGTGCTGCTGACATTGTTTTTCTTACAAAATCTATTCTTGATTAACTACATATCCTTTGTTTTTTTTTTCATCAATATATGAAAAACTCTGGCTTTCTTATTTTACCATACCTTTAACATTAAGATGTCAATCCGGTTTCAGGGTAGCATTTTGCCCTGTTAATAGTTATCATGCAATCAATATAAGATTTTATACACATGTTCTCATAGTCACATAGTCTTTGTGTCCCCCTCTGATTCTTAGGTTATTTTACCTAGCTCACGGTTAGCAGAACTAGCATAACAATAATTTTGGTAAAGGACAAAAAGGCTCATAGTAACAATGTGGCAGATAACATATATACCCACCTGTTAACGTGCTTGTATTTTGTCTTTTAAACAGATCTTTGAACTTATTGTTCTGCAGCTTAATGTACTGAAACAAGGTTCTCACTGTTCTTATTAGCTTAGTGGTTTTATGATATTAGTTATAAAAGTGTTATTTATTTTCTCCATTATGCAGGATTCTGTCCCAAAAGATAGAGAAAAAACAATTCATAACAAAAAATAGGATGTACATACATATAATGATTTTTAGCTCTACCTGATCATTCTGCATTATTGTTATAAGAGTGTTGAACATTGGCAGTTTAAAATATATATATATATATTTTTTTGTAATACATATATTTTCATAGAAACTGTATAATTCATATATGACTGTTTTTTTTTTCTTTTTGCAATTTTGATTAGTCAGTGTTACTTGCTAGTTTGACGGTTGACAGCCATAGAAAAAAAAAGAAATAAAAATTCAGCTACCAGTTTTGAATGTTCAAAAGAGAAGCCAATGTGCAATAAATCATTGCATGGTGGTATTTTTCAAAAGAACAACCAGTTCTGCATCAAGCATAAATTGAGCAGAATCATCTTTGCAACCGATATGTGTCTCACATATAATTGGCTAAGACAAATTTTACAATGTAAATTTTTTTTTTTTTTTTTAAAGTTAGTTTTTAATGCCCGCAATCTGCAATCTGTCAGACAGCAATGAACATAAAACAAAAAGCAAATCAATGCCTTTGAATTTCCTTAATTTATATCTGATACAAATGTGTTTATTCAGGTATGTGTTTTGAGTCTGGGAAAAAAAAACAAAAAAAAAAACAGAAATATAATCACAAACTCTGAAAAAAGCTAAGAACTGAGAAAACAGACAGTACATCAGATCAGTGGTAGAGCTGCTAGAATATGTGTGCTTGCAGTAATGTGCAAATAAGTGTGAGACCTGTGTGATACATGTGCAGCCGAGCATGCATTTTGTTCCTGGGTTTATGTGAGTTATGTGTTATGGAGTACACATTCAATATGAATGGGTGTGTGCGTGTGCATGACTCAAGATGAATTACATCCCAAAAACAGTGGAGCGAGAAAGACAGAGAGAGGGAGAGGGGTCCCCGGTTGCTGCCAAACACAGGGCAGAGATGATGAAGTGATGCACTGTGAGCTACCAAAACAATATGGAGGGAGAGGCATCATCAGCGGATGGAAAAAACCAGAAGTGGCAGCCAGATAGCAACAAGGGAGGAGGAGGATGAAGGCAAATCATATTAATATGAAAAAGAAAAGAAACAAACTCTTTAATATTTCTTAAAATCTATATCCTTCTCTATATCATGTTCAAAATAAACTTTTACTTTCTTGTAACTCATGTTGATAATAAACAAGCTCCTCAAATGTTTTGAACAAATATAAATTATGTAATGTTTGAGCAACTTGGAGAAAAAAAACAGTGCTATTAACTTAATAAGAACCTAAAGTAGTAATTTATACTAGAAAAGCAAACAAATGCAAGGGTAATGAAAAAAGGCAGCAACCATAAAAGGCATTAAAGAGTAAAGAAATTTACAAGGGGTCTTAAGTCTAATTAAAGCATATTAAAAATAATTAAATTATGCATCTGCATCTTTAAGACTGTACAAAGCAATGTTGTCTCAGAGTGAAGTGATAACTGTTGCTCCTACTTAGCTATTTAAAGCATCGTACAAATCGATGGTGATAATTAAGTAAAAAAAAAAAAACAATTATGTGGACTTTTTTTTATTGAGGGGTCCTCTATGCATGTTATTTCAACTCTGCAGAAAACAATGCCTCAAAGAATAATAGGTTTCTGTACAAATCCAAATCATTGCTTTTTTGGATTTGATGTTATTTTTGGATTACAGTACATACTGTATTAAGGGTGAATTTCACATTTTAATTTTTCCTGTAAAAATGCATTATATAGAATGCTTACCGACAATCTCTATTTTAATACAATACGAGTGGAAACATTGTTTAACCCACTAATAGTTTAAAAAGTTGGGATTTAACCAAAGAATGGAAGCTCAGGGTGTAAATTAAGTGTTTTCAAATTTGTGGAAGCAGAAACTTTGCCCTATTCATGTGTTTGCTTGTTTTTCCCCAACTCCATTCATGTCAGCACCCCTACTTTTCATCTTAACATTTCCTCCACCATGTTTCAGTGGGTGGATGTTATGTTCAGAGTAATGTGCACAAATCATAGCATTATCCACCTAAGCCATAAAAGGGTTATATTTTGGTTCAATCTGAAAATAATACCATCTCCAACATTTGTTGTGGTAACATTACTTCTGTCAAACTGGAAATGGGAACTTTTATGGCCGCTTTCAACAGTGGCTTTCTTCTTGCCATTCTTTAATGACACATTTTTTATGCAAAAAATGCTGTCGATCTCCGCAGCTGCTTTAGAGACAACTTGCCTCTTGGCTTTCTGTACAAATTATGCTTTCATAGCATTTCCTGTCAGCCTATATGAATATAGTTTACAGTAGTTTCAGGTAATGGTTTAAGTATCACTCCATGAAAAGATCAAATCTTTGAATATTATTTTACAACCTAACAATGCTTTACAGCTCTTCCTATCTTTCTCACTAATCTTACTGGTGTGCTTTTTCTTGTTCATGATGCTATTTGCTCATGACCATTCTGTTGCAAGCCCAAATATTAAGGGAACAGTCATTGTGATACTAAACTTTGTAAGCACCCGTTTGTTAACTGAAGTCACAACAGTGATGCTCAGGAAAAGTCAGAGTCAGAATCTACCTGCTGAAGAAGCAGAGATTTTGACTCTATTTTGGCATCAGCCATCTTTTATGGTGTAGTTAAGCTCATCAGGAGAGCAAGCTCTGTGGCACCCTTGACCCTATGCAGGTGGTGTGAGACATGATTCTGGCAAAAAATAGCCTCCTTGATGGTTAACAGAGCCACACCGTACATAAAGCTGCTGAAGAGCTTTAGGGACAGACCACTGAACTCTATGGGCCTGATCTTCAAAAGGTTTGAATGTATTACAAATGATGCAAAATTGTTAGAACACAAAAAGCTTATTTACAAAGAGGGTACAAATTGCATGTGGGTAAGTCTTTGTGAATAGCAAGATCATATTGTAATGACTAAACCATGCGAATTCATGGCTTGAAAATATGCAGCTCTATGTTAAAATGTACCACCCACAAAGCAACGTATAAAAGATGTAACTGATTGCAGATGCATCCATGTTTAGCTCATTTAAAACCTACCTACTTATTGCATACTGTAGACTTTTTTGCTCATGCAAAAACTATTATTTATTAGCATTTTCGAAGATCATGTCATGCATGATTTCTAGGTTTATATGTGAATTGCATGTTCATGTGTGGCCTGACATTAGTTATAGTGTAAGGACCATTTTCTTTATATTCTAAACATTGTTAGGACCAAGGTCAGGGGTAAAATTACAATAATCCATAGAGTAGGAATGGAAGTCCATCTTAAATTCATGTTAAAATAGATGACCCTGACAGATGTGGTGTATGTTTGTATATTTACCATGCGAAGGTAGTTCATGAGGCTGGTCCCATGTTGCCAGATGAGGGGGGAGGTGCAGCTCAGCGGCTTCACTCCAATCTCCTGACTGCGGTTCAGCTCCCGCACAGCACTCACCACCACGTGAACAGCATCAAACATAAGGGCTGATGACAGCTAGGCATGAAAAAAAAGGATAAGAAAGATTTTATCTTCTGCCCCCTTTGCTCTAAAAAAGGGGGAATGAATTTACAGTCACAAGAGACCTTTCTTCTTATCTTCTTAATTGCTAACTTCTGAATTAAGGATTCAAGGGAAATCAAACAATATTTAAGATTCATGCAGAGTGATTAGGAACGATAATGAATTTTGAAAACAAAGGAGTGAAACCTACTTAAAATCGTTGTGTTTGTTAAATAATTAAAGAAAAACACGACGCTGGTTGATTATTGTTGTATGATTTGTTGGATGTATACTTATCTGAAGACAAAAACTGTCAGTTTTACATAGTCTAGTCATGGCATCAGCAAAGCTTTGATGAAACAAATAAATATGATAAATTTAAGAGCAAAATATTTAATGAAATGAAATGTTTCTGCTGAGAACATTACTCGTACCATTTCAATGGTCTTTCAAAAGACATTTCTTAACATTACCTACACTTGTTTTACTGTAGAACCAGTACCTTCTAAGTTAAGTCCCTAAGGCGTCAAAGTAAGGATGGAAGAAATTGGACACATTTTATTTTTTTTTTTCTTGATTCAGCCATCAAGAAAAATGCACTGTGACTGTAGTACTTTCTATGGAACAGCTAAGAAATTGGCTGAGATACGAAAAATAAACATATTCACAAACTCTTTTCTTTACCAATGTCATAAATAAGAGTTAAGCCTTATCCTTACATCATGAAAAATTTATATCACAATAGTTTTTTTGTCCTAAAACATGGTAAATGATACAGTACAGTATGATTGTCTGTTAAACAGAGAATTACTTGTGAAACCTCAGAATTTTACTTAGAGAGACTGAGCCAATGGCAAAAAGCAGATTACATGTGATGTTATGGAAAGCCAAAACTGCAAAGTCCCTTAACAGTGATTTTATTTTTCTTCCTTCCCCACTAAATCATCCATTCAACCACACAGCCTGTGTTATGTAAATTTCCTCATCTGAACCAGTACCCTAGGGTCTGCATGGACTACCTGTGGACAGTGGTAGATACATCAACTTTTTGTTGCTACACTGATTGCGCACATGAACAGAGTATCTGTACGTGTGCATTTTTTGTTATACAGTTGACAAAGTAGCAAATGATCACCCGCTGTGATGCTGAATTCAAAAAAACATATTTCTTCTAAAGAGATGCTATGGTTTGACTAAGCAAGGGATTGTACAAATACAGATATTTGCACCTAGGCGAACCCAGGCAGCAGTTGTTCATTAACAAAGGGAAACGCAGTGTAAAGGAAAAGCAAATCAAACAAAATGAGTAAAATTGAATAAGAATATAATATCAAGTAATTTCTTAATAATCTGGTTTATTTAATTAGTAAAAGGGGTTGTTTAAAAAGTGAGAACTGTTTCGGTGTCAATGACTTAACAACAGGTATACAAAAGGAGGGGCAATGAATCAGCCCCAGAAACATTAATGGTTTTCAGTTGGAAATCAGACAGATTGTCCCTTCTTATATGAGTTTGTTTGTGGTTTTATTGTTTTCTTTTTACTGTTTTTAATAGTTTTTCATACACAGGTCAAGGTCAGGACTGGTAGCAAGAGCCGAACATTGAACCATACATAGGTTACACAGACAGTCCGAGTCCATTTAGATGACCCACCAATATATGTCATTCTCAGAGGGTTTTTGCTGTGTCTCCCTGCTACAGCCCTAAGTAAGTTAATAAGCAACCTTATTCATGTTGCACATTTCAAGATAAAAAATTATAAAGTGCTTCATCAAAGAAAAGGCTAAAAAAAAAGACTCAAGACAAGGCAAGTCTTAAGGCAGATTTAAGGAGCCAAGGAGTCTCTTTTTTTGTTGGTCTTTAAAGGAAACTGCTGCATCTGCATTTCTTAAGAGTCCAAGATAAAAAGTTTCAAAGTCTGAGCCAAAGAAAAGGCAGCTCTTTCTCATTTAGGTTTTAATTTAGTATTAGCCGGTCTTGATAACTGCAACTCATGGCCCAAATATAGATAGAGGAGAAATAGATTAGTGTTTATCAATGCAGTACTCTCTAGGCCAAAACTAGGATCATTAAATGCACTTGATAATAAACAAGTGGCTAATAAATTGCATTATTAATGGTGTCACATGACAACATTTTGAAGAACTACTCTGAAGCCTATAGCCTTTTATATAGAAGTTAGCACAAGATATAAAGTGACTAAAGAGTGTATTTCTATGAAGGATGATGAGGGTGCTCTATGAGCCAAGCATTCTCTAACAGGCATGCAGCATAGGGCAATGCTGAATGCTCGACAGTGTAAAGGATGACTAGCATTTGCCAGTTAACACCAGAATCATCAAGTTTGGCATCAGCATCCTGTTCTTCACAGAGATGAGATCAGATTCATTCTGAGCTTTCGTGACAGATGTGAAAATGTCTGGTGAAGCTGCAATGACTGCTGCCAACAACCTTGTTTAATTCAATTCAGCTCTTTACTGAGACAATTCAATCAAATCATAGACAGATTTGTTTAAAGTTTTCGAAGACCGCCAAGCTAATTGCATCGAGTCACAGACTTTCACTCCGTCTGGATACAAATGTAGCATCAGTAGACATTCCCTTGTATTGTGTTGTTGACTTTACAGCAATTCCAGCTTTTTTTTAAATTGCCATTACACTGTTACAAGTACAGAGCAACTAAGTGAACACTCTGCAACATTTCCCCTTGGGGAGCGCAGGACTGCCATTGTGCGGCCACCCTTGAGCAGTGTGCAGTTAACGGTCTTTGTTCAGGGACCCAGCGTGGCAGTCTGTGGGAGTGGGGCTTAAACTCAGAATCTCTGAATTCCAAACTCTATGCCCTAACCACTAGGCTACCACTCCCCTCACACTCAATTCCTCACAATTGTGGATAGGAAAACTCCCTTTTAACAGGAAGAAACCTCCAGCAGAACCACCTCAGTGTAAGAGGCCTTCTGCAAAAGCGGACTGGGGGTTAATAGCCTGGCATACCAGACTGACTTATGCTTCACTGTGGCCTATTTGTGTGGAAAGAAGCAGTAAAGCCAATTTTAAAAGGCAGTACTAACAGAGACAGCAAAAAAGTTTAGAAGCAATCATATGACTACGGATGTGATGGGAAAAAAAAACATCTTAAAAAAAAAAAAAATACAGCAGCCAGTTGTTGAAATGTTTGTGTTATAAACAGGAGTGGACATAAAATGGGCATCAATAAATCATTTCTCCATTGCAGCTGTTATCTTGACTGTTATGGTAACAAAAATGTGCTGCTGAATAATTGTCCAACTCCCAGTGCAGTGATTGATCCTGTCCATTTTAGATAGGGTGGTATTGAGCCTTTCCAGGCTAACTTAAACCCTGTATAAGTCAGTTTGGCTGACCAGGCTAAGGCAGTCAAGCAGACACAACTAGGCACACAAAAGAAACATAGATGCAATGATCCATACATAATTTCTATGTTAGAAAAATGTAATAATATGCTAGCAGAGATGGATTGTTTTTCAGTTGTTCATTTTGGTATCACGTGGTGTTTACCTGACGAGCAATATCCATAGAGTGAAAATTGTACAGAATAAACAATGACATTCTGGTTTACTTTATGTATTCAGAAAATATCCTAAGACCTATTTTAAAACATTTTAATGTTGCTATTGGTCTTTAATTTCTATGTCGTCACATGGATTAAGTATTCAGGTAACTCTTGAAAGTTAAAAATACACCACTATGTTACACCTCAGGACATAATATATTGTCTAATGAGAAACTTCCCCTGACATTGTCTGGCATGTCCACAAATACGTAAAGGCCATACAAACTACAGATTATCCCCTTGACTTGACTGGACTTGCTTGTTCTATCAGTGTTTCAGCTTCTGTCTTTTATAATTTTCATTTTCAATGAATGATGTTGCATCCTTTTGTTCCTACCACCTTTCATATTAGTATATATATTAAACAAGTTTATCTTTGAGATCTGATGTGTTTTTAGAGTATTTCTGACATTTTTTTAAACAGTATATGTATAGAGCCAAAAAAGGGTTGAATAAGAGAATTAGTGGTAATGTGCAATGGAATGGAATGATAGAAGGAAACGGTAGTGAAAATATAAAGAAACAGAGATTTAAAAAGACATTAAAAGCAAAATGAAAAAGCCTTAACCGGTCAATATTTGCGGATAAGCACAATTTAATACACTCAGTTCTAACTGATCACCTATCAGAAGGTTTCTTATAACCAATGTACTGCAATACATGATAGGTAAAATCATTACCAGTCATTAAGTGGATTGTCTTAATGTTGCAAAGCATAGTAATGGCATTAGATTCATATATTTCTAAACTTCTAAAAATTCCTGTGACCTGTGTTAGTGTCATAATATGAGAGTTAAAGAACATAATTTTAGCAAGAGTAAGCAACTGTTAAGTTCCTCTCACAATATGGCTAAAATATAGGAAAAAAGAATAAACAAGTTTCCACAGGGGGGAGAAAAAGAGCTCTCACTTTCACACGCTGAAGAACCTGGAATTAGCATGAGTGTAGTTAGATTACTACCTACAGTACAGTAATCCTCAATCTCCCATTAGATCTGTTGGATCTATAGTAGGTAGATAAATTAACAAATAGACTTGAATATTATTTAAATTCACTACTTTTCCAGCAATAACATTAAAGAAGAGGCAGCAACAAAACAGAACTGAAGGGCAAAGACACATTTAGCTGTGGCAAATAGTTAGCGGGCTGGAGGTGCTTGAAAAAATTCAAAGCTAAGCTGCCAGAAAGAAACACTGAAAAACTGTCAACAATAGCTTTACAATAGAGCAACATTAAGCAGTGGTAACAAGGAGAAGTGGGTCCAGAAAATAGCTCAGAACATGTTTTGTCAGCACATCATAACAAAAGAAAATCTATACATTGACTTGCACAAAATCACCCACAATATAGCAAAGACATGCATTAGCCGTGACAAGAAAGACTTACAAAATAGGATGGTAATAAGATGTTAGAAAATTGAGTTAAATTAATTCTATCTCTATTCTATGGCATTTGGTTTTTGTAAGTTATAATAATAACATTAATTTGAATTATTTTGATTGTAGAACAGTCCTTGTGGAGCATACATACATTGTTTTTTTTTGTTTGTTTGTTTTTTCTTTTTTTGTTTTAAACCTCAAACAGTTGGCTGGAGTTTTCCAAATTAGGCATTTTTTAAGGGAAATATTTTAGCAATATAGCCAAATGATTAGTAAGCTAATTTAAGCTGCAGAGATTCTTGTGTGAGGAAATAAACGGCAAGTTATACCTGGTATCAGCTGCATTCAGTCAATGTGATAGCATGATTTTATCAATGTCTGGTCGGTTTTCTTTCAAACTGACACTCCTAGAGAATCAGATAAATTAAAGAGAGACAGGGCTGCACTGTGAAAGCCTGATAAAATAGACAGATGTTTGCAGATAGAAGTTTTGGCAAGTTAATAGATTCAGAGCATAATGATAGCAGCTGAGAATGGTTTAAAATAAGTGACAGATAGATAAGGAAAAAAGAGAATGAGATAAAGAAAAAATAATTGGCAGTTCTAACCACAGATTCAGTCTGGAATCACAGCTGTTTTTATAAACTAACATGTGTCACTCTGCAGCGAGTTTACTCCTCATATATCTGTCTCTAACTTTTAAATGGTGCACCTTCTGCTTGTCAGCATGATATAAGCATTGCTAATTAACATTCATGCAGTCTTCAAAATCTGTTGCAAACTCTAAACATTGTGTGTGAGATTAGTTGGACAAAAGACCCATTTTGTGTAAATAAATTGGAATATTCATTATTATTCAAATTGTGGCTTAGTTATTTTGAAATCAGCTTTTTTGTCACATAATGTTCACATTAAGTCACATATATAAGACGATAAAAGATATTGCCTAAACTGAAGCTTTGAGCAACAGAGGGTAGCACTGTTGACTTGCTTGCTTCTGTGTGGGTTCTCTCTGGGTACTCAGGCTTCCTCCCACAGTCCAAATAATATGACTTTTAGATTAATTGGCTTCTATAAATTGTCCTTAGATGTGAGTGCATGTGTGTGCATGGTTCTGTGTCTTTGTGTTGCCCTGCGACGGACTGGCGAGCTGTCCAGGCAACCTGCCTCTAGCCCATAGACTACCGTGGAATTGCAACAGACCCACCCGACCCTGACAAGGATTAAGCTGGAGAAAAGGGATGGATGAAGCCTTGAAGGCATATATAGACTAATTTTTTCCGATTATTTGAGGAAAGACATAGACATTATGCTTCCATGTGGATTTACATATATATTTCTCTTTTACTTTGCATTTTTGCCTCTTTAGATGAGCAATAATTCCTGCAATTATGCTATAACGGTCGAAAATTGAAGGCAATTTTGTTTATATATTAAGAAGTCAATTCTTAACTCTCTAGATCATTATTAGCTTGATCAGCCCTGAGCCGTCACCTACTGATCAAAAACCCCTTTTTTCAGTAGGTCCACTCTATTCATTTCTACCATGTCAAAAATTGGGGCAGTTATTGCGGGACAAGTCCTCATACTGAGCTGTTTACAAAGGTAATGTGTTCAAAATGAAATCAGGAAAAAAAACGGGGATGTAGGAGGCTAATTTATAAGAAAATTGGATTTTTGATTGCATGTTGGGCCACCTCTGTAGTTAATGTAGGCTGCAAGACAGTGACAGAGAGCAAGACATTTCAACACATAGAGGCAGGGTAAGTACAGCAAAGCTGGATTCAGAAATTATGAAAATATTTTAAAGGTTAAGGTAAGGACTCACGGCCTCCAAAAAAATATAAAAAATGCATGAAATGGAATCATGTGCTAACCGCTAATATGCTAGTTTAAAATATTTGTTATGATATTAAGGTATCAATAATATCAGCCTGGATAGGACATTGTCTCTGACTTTTCACTGAATAACTACTAAATAAACCAAAACATAGCCTGTAAAAAAAATATCTTAGAGTTGTTCTTTTATGCATCAACATCATAGTTCTCATAGAGAAAATCAGAATTAGCTTAGAATATCTGGAAATCCACTTTAAAACTAATTGGCGCTCATCTTTTTCTGCCACATATTGTTGTTTTCTGGTCTCTTGAGTATCTTTGTTTGGAATCGAGCAGCTTTAATAAAGACAGTGTCTGTCAGTTTTTCTCACCGCAGGTCCTGGATATGGGTTGATGTTGCAGCCTTCCTTCCATGACAAGTTTAGGCTCCTGATGAACTCCAAGTAGAAAGGATGGGAAATGTTCAACATAGAGAAGCCAACAATGTTGGACTGGTCACCCACCACATCATCTAGTTGGAGCAGAGGGAAATCCTTAAGGCCAGAAAAAATAAAGGGACAAAGAAGAAGAAGAAGAGTTTGTTGGCAATTTGTAAAATAAAACTAAATGGAAAACAAACTGCATGATAAGCTTAATAATAATACCAGAAAGGAGATACATTAATTAGGTCCATTTTCAGAAATGAGAATAGAAAAAACTTGGAGAAAAAAGAATGAAAAACCTGAATTGGATTTTCTTCAGTTTACTATAAATTATTTTGTTTTTATTCTGAGCAGGCTAGTAACGTAACAGAAAAAAGAGATGGACATCAAAAGCTTGGATGTTTCAAAGAAATTCAAATAGTCCTTGAAGGCAAGTCGATGTCATGCTGAGCATTGGTGCAGAAACAAACCAGAATCAAAATGTTTGCTTTGCCCTTAAAGGATTAGTGTTATGCAACACATGCTGACAATAAAATATTTAGCCTTAGTTGTAGGGAAGCGAACCAAACAAATCTCCAGCTGATTTGTCACCTGATGACAATAATGGGTAACATGAGCTCTCAACACAATTGTACTGCTCTCAAAAAACAAATAAACCATACTGTTTGATTCATAGTTAGACCTCATAGAGAAAAAAATGCTTGTTTGACTTAATCATTTCGTTATGTGCCTTGAAAACAATGGCCATCAGCAGGAAACTTCAGCCTAACTTAACAGTCAGACACATAATTAAAAATAGGTATTCTTTTAAAACACTATAATTCAATTACTTTGGCATCAAGTAGAGCCAGAACTAAAAGCAGCAGATGGCATGTCAGCATATGCCACTTCTGGTTCGTTGGCATATGCTGATTCTACAGCAATATGTCGCTGCCATTGGAAGGTATGCTGCTGACTTGAATCACTTTAAGTCGAGAGTGATGCTGTGTTTTGTTCTCACTTTGCACAAAAATTGATCATTTTAGTATATACTCAGAAAAGACATTGTGTATATGCACATTCCAATATTCAGTCTGTTGAAGTAGGAAGGTGTTCTGCCCAATCTGCAGACTTTCACATTTGACTATATTTTAGGTTAAATCAATTATATATCTGCTTATAAATACTCAAAATCTAATTTAAAGCTCTTTACAATTGATGCAATGCAAAAATTTGCCTTTGATTTGTGGTAACTATGCATCGCTTCATTCAGACTTAGATTTATTTTGTCTTTTTGTGTACACAAGTGTAAATAAATTTCATTAAGAACAGTTCTCTAGACTATTTCATTTTTTAAAGTGCAGCCTTGATAAGGTAAGCAGCAGTGATAAAAAAAAAAGCATTATGAAGAAAAACAGTAATGTAAACATATGACTGTATGGTTACAGTTCTGACATTCAGTTTTTATGTTTATCACTTAATTAGTGTAAATTAGTGAATCAACAGAAACGTGTGTATTAACACGTTGTAAGTACATCAACAATAACTATATTTTAAATCCTCCTCTGTATTCATCAGGAATAAATACAAAGGGACAACCAGACAATATACATTTAAGTTTTTAACTGTGGGAATTGTTTGCATTTGTAAGCGAGACACAGCTTCAGCTAGACATTAATTTTGTACTCTTTTTTTATTTTATTTTTTTAAACCTTCCTTGAAAAAAAAAAACTCAATAACACATAATGTAGTATTGTTTGTTACAGCAGACTTAACAATAATAAAGCAAAGAGAAAAAAATATTGTTTTAAAGCCAAAAAAACAGTCAACATATTAAATCCATTATCAGTTTGATAAATTCTTTGATGTTTTAAATCACATCTCTTTAATTTTAGGAAGGAAATAGATGTAGCCTGTCTGAGTTTTGATATTTTCTAGTGCTGCCAACTGTGGCTTGTTTACCCTTCAAATCAGGCCCTTGTGAGAGTTTTCACAAGTTTTATATCTGCAGTTGGCTTTAGCTGTTTAAAATAATCATGTAGTTTCAGACTGCTGAACAGTTGCAGTTTAAAGTTTTGAAATAAAATAAATATTTTAAACCAGTCTGTGTGAATTGCAAGTCACTTTAAAATCTGTGCTGATGTTGAAGGTTGTGTAGCATGTCCCAAGCTTACTTGAAAATCAAATCTTTGAGATTGGATAGTATGTTTGGAAGTGATGCTGTTAAAAGGATCTCAATACACAATCAGAAAGAGAATTTACAGTACTTGTTTCCATATGCCCACAAACTGAGTGCTCGCATTTTGTGCATGAGCAGTCAATGGAGACCCACTAAGTGCAACCAGAAAGTAAGTTAAGCTTTTTGTCATCCTGCAAACTTTCCTGTATATTAATAAACCATAACAAATTATTAGTATTAGTCTCTAGTATGTTTTATTTTTTTTATGCAATAGGTATTTATGGCGCGCAGTTGCTTTCAAAATGAATCAATCTGAAAGCACTAGTGAAAAAAAAGTTAGTTGTGTGAAAAATCTATTATTTAAGTTTATTATGCAGTGCACTTCAAAGTGGGTAAAATGAGGTAAAATATAGATAAGGTAAGTACAGGAAATTCTTACTTTTTTGTGGCTGATGTTTGTATTTATAATAGTATCAGTATCCCAGGTTTTTTTGTGTTAAGGACATTTTTCATTTGTTGTTTTATTTCTGCCGCAGCAAAAACTTTAAGATATCTAATGCGAGTCAGCAGTTTTCAGCCTGAACCATAACACTTAGATCGCCACTATTAGTACTTGGCAGCGTCTGCTCTCTACATCCTTTTGGCTTAAAATTGCTAATTAACAAAAACAAGAAGGCCGTGAAAGATGTACAGAGGAGCCAAAGAGGGTTTTTTTTTCACAACTGCTATAAAAGTAATATTAAGGATTTGATTATTTATGTAAATATGCTAATTTTAAAGGCCTCTTTGTCGATTTGCTCATTACTAATTTATTATGGTTAGGAAATTCATTCATCAAAATAGCGGTCTTTTTCTTATCTGTTGTCGTTGCCAGTGTCTCTGCCGGCTGAGAAACTGTTGCTGTCATTGTTGCCTCTGCTCTAGCCGGATGCCAAATCAATTTCAGCAGCAGCCAGGCCGGCTGTCAGACTGTCGGCCTGCCAGTACTGACAATAAGCAGTTGGCTGGCCAGGTTGCAGGGACCAGGCCAACCCTGTCTAGGGAGAAAGCACTGCGACAGCATTCCAGAAGGACACCAGTGATGCAATGACTGCAGCATGCTTCACAGTAGATGTTCATTTAGGAAGAGGCTGGTTTTAAGGCTAGTCAAGGCTAATAAATAATAATTTCAAAATTAAACTTCTTTAAAATGTTGTATACTTGATATATTTTTTTATTTAAAAAGAGGTATTAACCTTCATAACGCCATAGGATTTTGATTCGGTTAAACTAATAGTGACAACTTCCTGATTATTTCACCTTGATTTTCATATTTCTGGGTTTGAATTTGAGCTTCCTGCCTTTTGATTATTCTTGCATTTATGTAGTAAGCCGCTGCAGTATTGGTCAGTGCAGCTTAAGAATTTCAGCTTTTACCCATTTAATTAGTGGGTAAAGCTCCAAACTGTTTCCATGCTATTTACATAGAGATCATCTCTTGAAATAGGAGACATTTTCAGGCATAATTGTACCGCAATAATATTCAAAGGAAAGTTTGATTATATTTCTCTGTGGTCTACCCTTAACTTAACAGTTGGCATGGTTTGGACAAGTGCATCACCATGCACCCCATAATAAAAAGAGCATTTTAAAACCATAATTGTTGACTGTAATGAGTCTGTTAAGTGTTAGCCATTTAAAATGAATCAGTATGTGGATCGCAATAAAATAGAGATTAAGCAACAATAATGGCTCCAAGACGTTAGAGCGTTGAAGAGAATTATCCAGTCAGTGAAAATTCCCCAGAGTCTAATGACTGACTCCTCTCTGTTTTTCGTATGCTCTAACAACATTAGAGGGAATATTAAAATGGTGCTTTTCTTTGCTAGTATTTTTACAGTCTGCAGAGCATGTTCAGTGCAAAGTTAAAGGTAGGTCACTGACACCGCTGCAGGCGAATGAAAATGTGAGAAAGAGAAGGCAGTGGTGGGATGGAGGGAATGACAAATTTGCCCTTGGTTTGTTAGTGCTGCCAGAACAACCCTGCTAAAGTCTCATGTCATACAGTGTTTAGAGTCAAGGCGGAGATCGAGGCACGTTATTAACCACGCAGGTTCTTTGTACAAGGGCACGACACCAAACAGGGGAATTATAATGATGACAAACAGTGAAAGAAGCAGCATGCATCTCTGATGAGAAGAGAGAGATAAGGAGGGGGAGGTTAGGGTTGATCGAGAACAGGAAAGCTATGGTTAAGAATGTAACACAAAAAATATCCTTTAGGTGTGAAAGGTTTGCTCACATGAGAACACACCCAAAAAAATTCCCAACAATATTTTTAAAAATCTGCTGTTTGGACTCAATAGCCAGATTTTCCAAATAAAGAATGCAAAAGTAAAACATCTGATCAAATCGAATGACATCCATGAAAAGAAAGAAGAAGAAATGAGGAAGCAAATTTATTTTTGGAGGAAAGAAGACACTTAAAAAAGACTAATCCACCAAAGGTGATGCAAAAAATTTGTAGACCACATTTGTAACAGACATGTTCCTTTACAGAGGTTAAAAAAAACGTTGAAGTCCCCACAAAGAAAGTGACACAAAAACCTTAAAAAACAACTAAATCCAGAAGAGCAGACAGTGGTATAAAAATATAGTTAAGATAGGTAACAGGAATGAATTAATAAAATATAAAAACATGATATAAAAATGCTTAATTTTAAACACAATTATAAGTTGTTTCTGATAATTGGTATAATTAACTTGAAACAAATGCAATACTGAAAAAAATTTGTTTTTATCAAGAGTCATAGCATTAATAGTTTTAATTATAAGTATCTGCACCATGAAATAGAGGGTTGTCTAATATACGTACATAATTTAAAATAGGTTGATGTGGGCTTACTTTCTACACAGAGAAACGGTGACAAGCAAGGAAAAAGGTTTAGGATAATTATTCTTAAACTGTGGGAATTATTTCTGATCTATATATGAATAAATCTGGGATCTAGTGCTTAGTACCAAAAGCCATAATGACACGTCGCTCAAAGACTATTCATCAAACCTCCATTCTTCTAATGTTAGTAAAGGCTTTTGTGACTAATAGAGACATTTCAATCTTACTCATGGGTTTAGCCTTGAGCATGTAGGACCCAAACCTAATGCAGTTAATTTCAGTAGTCAAAACTAAATATGTTACCTAACCACCATCAAAACGAGTTTTGTGTGTTTCTACTTTGCCATTGGTCATTTCTCCTTTTTTTTGTCTTAATTTGGACATAATTAAGAAGTTAAGTTAAGAAATAAAAGATAAAAAATAGGCAATAATGAAATGTAAAATTACAGCACATAATCATCTCAGCCTCTGTTTGGCAACTTTAGGTCTTAAACTCTGGTAAAGTAGTGGGGTAGGAATCATGATGTAAAAAGAAGAACTGAATTCCCCTGTGTTTCTAAATATATCCATGATGTTCTTTAACATGCTCTCCTACATCCACCTGCGATTCAGCCAATCAGCTTTGAACCACACCTCCACAAAAGCCAATCAGCATCCAAAGTTCATCTTAAAAGGCCTCTGATCCACACTTGTCCTCTCTGTGTGCAGACGGCCTATGCACTGTGTGACTTCATTCAGATGACACAGTTTCAACTCGAAGTGAGCTTCGGATCGTCCGCAACATTTGCTGCTCGGATCCTATCCTCTGACACACCTGTTGATCCACTCAATGCTGCAGAGATTGGCGGCTCTGCCACGCCCTGTTCACCTGTCTCCAAACATTTCTGTGTTTCATCCATCAGCAGTCAGCTGGCTCGCTCTGCGTTCAGCTCGCTGACTCTGATTCTCTTCAGGTGAGACGTATCGCTTCAAGGCTCTAGTGTTTCTTTATTCATACCTTTAGCTCTTTTCTCTATTAAAAAATATCATACGCAAATGCTTCACCAGCTCACAGCTTCTCATCGTTAATTGACATCAGTCTCTGATCTTTGCCTTTCAAGGTCCCTGGCTGTTTATTTTATACAATTTTCTCTGTTAATTATGTCATAGTTTTAATCAGCAGATTGTGCGCTGCTTGATGGATAAATCACGTTGTTCCTGCGTTTCTTTCAGTGTGTTTCGATTTCAACTCATGTTTCTCATAGATTTCAATTTTAAGGAAGCCTGAATTTAGAAACCGAAGTTTTGTTGAAAGTTGTAGTTTTCTATTGCGACTGACTTTAATTAAATAATTTGAACCAAATATTTAAAATATATCAGAATAACGCTTTGGTCTAACGCATAAAAAACTGTCGTGCCCAGTCAATCAGCAACAAGTTAATCCCGCATTATCCATATATTGGATGAATAAATCTCGAGTTACTGGAACCCGAATTCCTTTATCGGACTCAATAAATCCGGTAACTAATTTAATTTCACCAGGCTAAACGTGATCTACTGAAATCGTCAGCTGGGTAAATATTTACGTCAGTGTGTAATATTATTTAATAAATAAAAAAAAAAGCTATGGCTTATCACGTATATTCTCACTTCACCGCATATATGGGGTGAATTTCCTAGTGCATGTTTGTCACTCTAAATGATAAATTAAGCTGCAGCCTTTTCTTTACAGAGTCTATCGGCTTATCTTCTCCGTCAGAGCATTAAGGTTGAGATGTTTTTATCCCCTAACAGACTCAATTTTTATCACTTTTAAACTGAATCATGATCATTTTCAAGCCTCGTGGAGTTGTTGCGGATTTTCTTTTGGCAGTTCACCATGTTTCACTGTCATTTAGTGACCCCGTAGGCACCCTAGGCACCTTTCATCCATCGAAACAAGTGCTTTATGGTATTCCTTTCCCATCGCTGCAGGTGTTATGATGCCCTCTATCACTGCGGCAGGTGGTTATGGTGCCCTTTTCCTACTGCTGCAGGTGCTCAGGGTGCCCTTCATTCTTAGTGGCGGGCGCCTACGCTCCCCTTTGCCATCACTGCAGGTGCTCATGGTGCCCTCCATCATCGCAGCGGGCTCACAGCGGCCTTTTCCCATCACTGCAGGTGCTATGGCACCCCTCATTCTATGGCACCCCAGCGCTTATGGTGCCCACCCATTTTCTATCGCTGCAGGTGCTATGGCACTTTCATTGCATGCCGCTTCATGGCGCACCATTTCCCATCGCTACTAGCTTATGCCACCCCTTTTTTACATCGCTATAGGCGCTTGGCACCCTCCATCCATCGCTAAAAACGCTCTTGGCACCCTCCATTCATCTGCAGGAGCATCAAAGTGCGTTATATCTGTCGCGGTGGAAGTTTCTGGCAGTCTTTCTCAATCACTTCAGGCACTCATGTGCCCTCATTCAGCATTACATGCAATTATGGTGCCCTCCATCATCACGGCGGGCACCTCATGACGCCTTCGATCATCGTGGCGGGCGCCTCATTGCGCCTTCCATCTTCACCGCGGGTGCCTTATGGCACCTTCCATCTTCGCGGCAGGTGCCTTAGGTGCCTATCATTGTGGGTGTTTATGGCGCCAGCTTCCTTCTTTGCGACGGGCGCGTCATGGCGTCTATTATTGTGGATGTTTTATAGCGCCAGCTCCGCGGCTCACATTTTATGCTGCCTTCCATCTTCGCGCCTGGCGCCTTATGGCCCCTATCATTGTGGGCGTTTATGCAGCATCGCGGCAGGCATTTCATGCCTCATTCATCCCAGCAATTATCCCATCATCATCCACCTCATCTCATCATCCCTTCACAAACCTTTGGTAGACCTTCGCGGAAACTGGCCCCCTTTTGGTAGGCCTTCGTGGCAACTGGCCCTGGCCCTCTTTTTGTAGGCATTCACGGCAACTGGCCCTGGACCCTTTTGGTAAGCCTTTGCGGCTCATCTCCTCTGTTACTACCCCTGCTGTTCTACTTTTCTTAGCTTTCAATTCAATCTCTGCCTTCTGAGCATGCTGTCATATCGGCCACAATCTCAGCAATGTTTTTGGGGGAAACAGCCCCCAAAAAATGTTTTTCCTCTCCACTTTCACTCCATGCTTGCTCATCATGGACAGGTTCTCTCAGCCTGTGTTATCCAACTGGACTTCCATCTTCCAGATCCCTGAATGACGCTCTAGTATCAGCCCACGAAATCCACTGGATGTCCCCATGAAGCTCAGCATGCCATCTCGCTAACCAGTAGTCTACAGACTGACCAACTTCATCCATCTCCACTCCACCATGTTTCAAGCCTGGGGGGAACAGCCCTATTCTTTGCTCCTGTTCGTGCATATCTATCCAAAGTAATTGTATCGATAAATTCCTCCTAATTGTCTTTCCTCTTTGTGTGAGTTTTTCTGTTTGAAATGCTAATTGTGAAAATTCACATATCAATAACAAAATATGATAAAGGCATTTACAAAGGAGAAGGAACCATATGTTGTAAAATAAAATAAATATTAATGATACATGGTCAGAGTTGTAAATATTTTAAATAAAATAGATAACTAATTGGACATTTCTCCTGAAATATTTATGATTAATAACTCAAGAAAACATAAGGCGCCTACCATGGTGGTGAGAATATACTTGTAGAAGGCCGACATCATCCCCAGCTCGTTAGCCTGCAAGGCACAAAGATAAAAGCAGACAGGCAAGGTGAAGAAGAATAACAGAGATTTAGACAGAGCAAAACCGCAGTTCAAAACCATGAATGTTGCATGTTTTTCAACAGGGAGTGTCATTCATCCCTTCTTTAATGAGACTACCAAATTGTCTCCTAATCTTTTTAAAATGTGCTCTGGCCAACAGGAAAATATGTTGGAAATAGGAGAAATACTAATAGAAGGAAGCTAAATAAGCTCAGTGTGTCATTTAGCTTAATATGATGGCATCAACATAACTTTTTAACATCCACTCTTCACCTGATATCTACCGTAGAATTACGGTCTACAGCCGGGAGCAATTAATGCATATATTTGTTTTACCTTTACTTACAAGTGTTCTCTTTTTAGACGGAGGCACCGTAAAAGAGGTCCAAAGATGTAGATTATATTTTATATTTTTAAGTTCAAACAACTCTCTTAGTCTCTGGCAATTTTTTTTTTTTTTATGTCCCTCTCAAGACTCCATTCCTCTAAAAGAGATCTTTGAAACCTTTTTTTGCAAATATTGCTTGAGACTTTTTTTAGCCTAGTGTTTCAATCAGACTTTTTTTCTGATCTTATAACCAGATATCTATTCTTCTGTCAACTAATAAATGGTGCAGCTCTACTTGTCAGCTGCTACATCGAAAACTGCAGGGCAGTGTGCTGCTTAGCTAGCATTTAGTGATTTTAATTAACAAATATGGTTTTCCATAACAGTATTAAGAATTGATCTTCAAAGATACCAAGTAAGAGGTGCTAAATTGGGGCAAACAAATAGGTGCAAACGTAAAAAACATCAAGTTTTGTTGAATCTAGGGAGAAAAAAAAAAAAGAAAATCACTGCTGTCTCTTTGTAGAGCCTTTTAACATTTTATTTTTTATGCCACAACTTTCAATTTAAGTCATAATTTGAATGGAATAATAAAAAAAACACCATCCTGCTGTAATAATTTGTTCCAGCCTGCATTTCTTTAATAATTTTATCCTACAATTGTTGATTCTGACAGTCCAAATATGATTACATGCACATGATTGTTCTTCATCCTCATGCATTGTACCAAATGCCTTTTTTGGCTACAATGACCACAGATATTTTGTCAGTTTCCTTTTTAGAGGTACTGTACTGAAGCAAGTGAATTGTAGATTGTAGAAATTGCTTCCCATGTGGTAAATATTTATATATTTACATGACCTCCACCCTCATTGTTTAAAACAAGCAAACCTTTCAAAGACCAGGCCTTCGGTGTCTTTTTACCATTGTAGTGTCATTTATGGTTAAGATGGACGACCTATACTTCTTGAATATTCTACACAGTATTGGTCTGTGTTAAAGAAACAAAAAAAAAATGTTTTCAGAATTGACCAACCAGAGGTTAAACATGAATAAATTTAATGTAGCCCCTGTCAGTCACTGTCAGGTTTGGTGGAAGTTATTTGACGACCCAAATGCAGAGATGAGTTCAACAGAAGCACAATTCAGGAAACAATAAACAACTAATCAAAGCCAGGAGATGCCAGGAAGAAAAACACATGCGGATCAAAGCAATGAAGAGAAACCAGCCCTGGGGAACTCCACAGGAGGTGTTTATATGGGAGACAGAACAAAGACTGTGCTAATCAGCTGATATGGAGCAGGTGTGGATAGAAGTAACTAGAAGGGAGCTGGGGGAAAGAAGACTGGCACAGGGGGCAACAGAGAGCAACACAAAAAACACAACACTGCTTAAATATAACTAGAAAAAAAACCTACAGTAACACAAAATGGGAAAGAAACAATTACCAGGAAAACACAGAATGACATAAACAAAATGAAAATGAAAACTCAAAAAGAAACTTTAACAGAACCAAAAAGTCCAGAAAGAGCAAAATCATGACAGTCACAACTTATTTCTTAAAGCAATTTAAGGAAAATTGCATCCATTAATTGTCATAACCAGTTTTCTTTAAACAAAAATGTAACTTGTTTTTATTTCCCAAACTAATTTTTTTAATTTGTGTCTTAATGAATTTTAGCAAAGGCTGGTCTGAAGCTTTGTAAATGACAGGTGATTTCTGGTACATTCATGAAGAGTTTTACATAAACTTATACTGAGAAAATGCAGTCAGCATACTTATAGAGTTTAAAATTTTTAATGCATTTTTTTTTTTTTTGTCATTTTAGCTTGAGTTGAACATTATATGCAATTAGCATCCTCACCTTCCTGAGGATATGGTAAGAAATAGAGGCATTAGCATCAATAATGATGGTAGCCACTTTGTCATCACGAATCTCCTTCAGCAAGGGCGTGGGGTCCAGACTGTCATCCAGCATTCGCACTGAAAGCGTCTCTCTGGAGATAAGGAACTGTCGAACAAGTTCCTCTAATCTGAGCAGGCCTAAACAGAAAAAAGACACAGTTCTAACAAAATTCCACAAGCATAAAATGTGAATATTGCAAATAGATCTACTTTTAAACCTGGCAGAAATCCAAATGCGTCTTCTGGAAAAGTAACTCAGGTGAGAAAACAGCAACAAGTTGAATCAATAAATTAACCAGAGGTACAGTATCAATTGTATAGGTATAGGAAACAGGAAATACATAAACAACATCTAAAAAGCTTCTTTTTTCATTAAATTATTACTCTGATTTTAAAAGGAAGTAGAAAAAAATCATCTGAAATTGATGGGACTCAGAGTCATTAGAGTGACAAATAACTGTTGCTGCTTCAATTCCCTAAAAGACGCAATAAACAGACTGGGATAAAGGTGATTATGTAGAGAGCCCATTAATTTCTTTCCTCAGAGAATGCATTTTTTCCCCCATGTGTCCAAACAGATGTAAATGGACTCACTTATTAGACACCTTTACATTTAAACAATATGAGATGGAATATGTTTATGAAAAATATATCTAACATGTTTTGGTAATCACTGTGATTTGTTGATAATAATTAAAATCTTTTTTTTTTTTCAAAGATTAATGTCCCCCAAAGAATACAGGATGACAGAATTCTCACACACATTTCATGCAGTGATTTTAAGGAGCAATGAAAAATATGTCACCTTCCCTTTGCTTTTTCATGGTCCTACATTAAAAAGCTCAGTTAGCTCTCAGTCTGAAACAGTACCTTTATTTTCTTATGTTTAAATTTGATAATAAATGAGTTCTTTGAAAACTTGCCATTCTTTAAAAGATTAAAGGAAAAGCTATTCTTTATTTACCAAGAAGTGCTATTGTCATTTTCAGCAAAACTTTTAATTGAGAAAAGCATAAAAAAGCGACATAATAATTACTAGCACGAATACATCCTAATATCTGAGATGTTTTTGGTTTTTATTAATCTGTGACATTTACCATGTTATAGAATTTGCATATCAGTGCCATTGGTCTTATTTTTGAACAATAGGTTGAGCCAGTTTTTAAACTTTACAGCAAAATTGGGAGAGAAAAAAAGATTATAGACATCAGGTAGTAAGCATATCGCTCACCTTTTTAGAATCCTAATTTATACCCCCAGTACAATACTATATAACCAATGATGTATGACTTCATTTATATGTTGACCTTTAATAAATGCACATTATGAAAGAGATTCGAACCCCTTTATTACACCAAAGATAGCTACTGTTAACCTTCTGCTCATAGATTTTATTTATCAGAGCCACGTGACCATAATCAGGACTAAGTAAGTCTAGACAAGTCTAAGTCTAATAATTGATGACTCTAAAGAGTTTTTAGATCAGAGTCCTGCAACGAGTTGGGTAACCGTACATCTACAGGTAAAAAAAAAACAAAAACAAAAAAACAATATTATTTCACGGATGCGGGAACAGGTATAAATGAACAAAGTGGGGTAACATAAAGTTACAGCATGAATTAAACTTATTTAAATTTTCTATTTATTAACTCTACAGATTAAAAAATAAATTAATTCAAGACAATTCAAATAACAGTACTTCTTTTAAGCAACAAGGCAAACATTCTTACTTAGACAAATTTACAGTTGTTCAGCTGTAAGCGCAGTGCGGACTGGATGTGAGCGTGAGGCAATGTTCTTTACTGCCTCTGTTATTATAAACGGCTGTGTGGGCACGTTGGGATCAAGGGTCAGGTCGCAATTTATTATTTACAGGTCTGTGCGGTCCTGGCCTGGGTTTAAATTAGGATACTTGCAGGTAACGGGTCGGGTCTAGAACTCTACGGGTGTGGTCGGATACAGTTTTGAAAAATCAGACCCGTGAAGGACTAATATAGATTACTGATTGGGTAACTAGTCAATTTTATTGTTTTTTAACCCATTACAGAGTTTTCCCTGGCAAGTGTGAATTATTGCATAGTTTGTTTACATGTCCCAAAATAGATGGAGGCTTTGGTATGAAAACAAATGTGGTATAAATATCTATATACCATATCTATACGACAGGAGGAAATGACTATCACTCTTATAAGCAATGGATGAGATGTGTTTGTAAATTGTGCCTTTTAATTAAACTTGCCAGAATCTGGCAAATATAGTCACTTAATGCCAATATCATTGAAAGGATGACAAATAAAAAAAAATAACAAAAAAATTATTTTTTGTTACAATCCAAGCCAATGGAAATATCAATAGATATATAAACTGACAAAACTTCTGTTGCACATTTTTTAAGATATAATGGCCACTCAAGGTTCTTTATATCATAGCCACATTCACCAATAGTTCTGTTAGGGCGACACTCATGCAAACAGCAATGCACTAATAGTTAGGCACCTTGGACATGCATGCATTGTCCAAGGGCCAGTCAATAGACAGATTGAAGCCAAAATAAGACTTTATTTTTGGATTGCAAGATAACTACTTTTTGCCTAAACAGTTGTTCATATTGTCATTAATGTCGGGTTTGTTGTGTTTTTTGGCTAAATTTCAAAGATATAAAGATGAAAAGACCATGCTTTGTATATTAACAGTGTGTTGAAATGGCCAAACCAAGTCACATTTTTAAACAGGTTTTGTTTGGGCTAATACCAAAGCATAAGGCCAAGAAAAATTAAATATCTGTTATATTTTTTAAGTTAACTTAACGCAAGGAATGTCTAAGTCTAAATAGCCATAAGTCCATAGTGTTTAAAGAGTAGAAACAAGTCTATTCTGAGCTTAAAGCATTGCATAATTGTGGTTGAGAAAACAACTAAAGATCCATTATTTTAATGGATAAAATAAGGACACATCAAAAAGCATTTTTTCTTTTCTGTGTTTCTGTCTGCTAGTTTTAAAATGTCTGATAGAACAGTTGTTTACCGATGTGGTAGATTGTGACTTTTAAAGCTGTAGTTATTTATTTGGTTAAAAAAAAATGTTTGGACCATTGCTTTCAGTATGTTTTTATGTCTTTAAATGATTCTGAAGAATTAAAACAGCTGCCTTCCTAAGCTGGTATTCAATCATCAAAACATTAGGAAGCTCCCTCTCATTATAGCATATGGCAACCATCATCATTAGACTCTCAAATTAGACAAGTGAGAGCTCCCAAAACAATTTAGATTTTTTTTTTCTTACTTCATGTCTGTGAACATTTGTTGTCTTACCAAAGGATGATCAAAACAAAGTTTTTTTTTATTACAATTTTTTAAAGATGGTTTAATAAATACCATTAGGAGCACAATTTCAGGGGAAACCGGGTATAACTCACTGTAGATTAAGGCAAAATTAGAAATAGGAATATAAAAAAGTCTAAAAAATATAAGCCGCTTTTCTCACATTTTGAAATCCATGTAAAGCATTCCTTTGTAAAGCATGCCCTGTATGATATGCTTGTCAGTCACATAAATTACCATGAATATGAAGGTGTTTATAGGTTCAGAATACTTTCCCAGCAGAGGTTCAATATCTCACCAAATATGAAGCTCTGTATTCTATTAAATGAAGGAAAGAGAGAGGTTGCTTTCGTATTATATGTATGGTCAACGGCAATAAGGAGTAGCACTATGATAGTAAACAAATACTACTATTTTTGTCGAATGCTCTGAGTTATAATATAGCATTGGTTTGAAAGCTTGTGAAGTGGATCTATCATTTTAAAGAGTGCTATAACAAACAAATCTCAGAGCAGCCCTGGCTTGAAACTTTAAGTATTTGAAAAATATTCTGGCTGTATTCTGTCCATCAGGCCAGGCCTGGGAATCTTCAAAGGTCTCCCAGATTCATGGCATCAGCAGTTAGGACTGGTTTTGACGAACCCTAAGCTCACAATAAACTTATCGTCAGGCCACATCACTGAACTCTGCAGAGTTTGAAATACCTGCTGCTTTGAAAACCAAATGCCTCGGTAGATGCAATGTACCTGCTCAGCATAAGAATCTAAATCCAGCAGAGTGGAAAAAAAACATACTGAAAGAAAAGTAGAGAAGGTAACAAAAAAAATCCAGAAACTCATATTCAGCTTATAGTGTTCATAGAAAAGCCACAGCCGCTTTTTGGTCTGAAAGTGAATTAGAGTGAAACGCAATATAAATTAATATGAAATGCAACGTTTATTAAGGACTTACACTCTGCTTTAGCACAAATGAGGCTGGCTGTTGGGTAGCCAAAGGAGCGCAGGATGGATCCGATGGCCAGGCTGAGGTCCTCGTTACTCGGATACAGTGTCACCGAGGCGAAGCGCAGGTACGGTAGCTTTGGGGTTTCCTCAGGCCCGATCTTCACATGAGGGATCTGACCAAACCAGACGGAAATAAGATGAAGGAAAAGAAATTAGTAATTTTTTTCAGGCTAAAGACCAACCCTCAGTGCAGGAGAAAAATAAAGTGATAATAGTAGCATTCACAGTAGTGTCTTTATTCAGTGCCAGTAATGAAATCTAAACATCAAAGCCTGTAATTATTGTAGTGGGCCTACCTAAACAATACATCTTTACTGTGCCTTTTTATTTATTTTTTTCCATTTGGGCTTTGTATTTACAGCTTATTTTAAAAGTAGAAACCAAGACCAAATAAAGGCATCATCTAAGACTGTTTCTACATTGACTTAGATTATAAATCAACGCTCATACAGATAAAACTCGAGCGGATGGTTGCCGTGACCTGCATGTATTAGAAATGTATTAAAGCTGAAAAAATAATGAGAGATTGAAAAAAAGGTTAACTTCTGTACTAAATGATGAATCATGTGAGAGGACAAATGTCTGTGCTACAGTATAACCTTCACTAACACCCATAGCAATTCAAATGCTAAGCTGTAATTAGCTCAACTGGGCTTTGCTCTAATCCGCAAAAAACATGGAAGAAACTTCCATATCCAGTATTATCCAACATTATGAAACATGTCAGGTGCATGACTCAGGATGAGAGGATGGTTAGAGGCTAAAAGTGGGATTGATGCAGTGTGGATTCACTGAAGCAGGAAAACAGTAGCTCATAATTTTATCCCCTTAATCAAAATCCTTTTACATCCTTATCCTGCAGTTAATGTTGAAACTTATTAACATCATTTGAGGTGATTTCATGAATTTTGTTTCAAATCAAAGCGCTAAAGATCATGTTTTTAAAAATATATTCAAAAGGGACCTTTGTTGATATGATTGCTAATTTAATACTACTACTATGACTAAGAAAAATTGTACTAATAATATTCTGATAATGCAGTAATACATTTGATAATTAAAACAACAATCTGAAATCGATTATAATTCTGTTTTTACTAAGGAGGGCAAACGATCAATGCCCCTGGGAGATTTCTAAGTAATTTGCATTAAACCAATTAGTTCCGATAATTACTGACTAGTAATTCTGCTTAATTTGGTATTTTAACTATATATTTATTGTGAGTCAAGAGTTAAAGCTTTTAAACCCGCAGGGCCTCCCAATTTTTAGCTTTCCCTGTGCCTTCTGACTCAAATTTAAGATAGGTCCTTGATTGAATCACTCTTAAACATTTATATCATTTTTTTGTGAGAAGACGCAAGCTGGAGAAAAGACACACAGGGAGGCAGCAGCTTTATATTCCTATAAACCATCTTTCTGTAAAGTAACCAGACAGAGTTGTGTTTTATTCACACGATCAAAGATATTGTCAGCAAAGTGGCAAAAATAGGACATCATGAAAATTATGTCCTATTTTGATTCTAGTTTTAAGTCCTCTACACAACCCCAAAAAAAGAACATTTAAAAAAGCCAATTTAAATCTGCAATGCCTTAAAGATGATAAGAGGGTTTAAGGATGACCACTAAAGGTATTTAGCTCAATTAGATCTGGAGCATTTTTCATTTAACATTTTCTCTACAATAGATGAAATCAACAAAACTCATTTATGAACGAGAGCAGCTGTTCTGTAAATGGTCTGAATTTATAAAGCGCTTTCGTAGATCACTTAGAGCACTTTAACTGTGCCCACATTCTTCAAAAACACGCACACTTCCACAGACTAATGGATTCATAGGAAAGTTTGAGTTAAGTGCCTTGCCTGGGGAACTTGTGAATATTGCCGTTATAAAATACACTTAATGTGAGTAAAGACAACAGGAAGAAATTAAAAAGAAAATAGACTAAGGCAAAGTATCAAAGCGTATTTGCAAATTATGTTATGACCTAGTTATTTCCCCTTTATATCAGAGGAAACCTGAATAATGAGTAAGAAGTAGTTCAGGTTGAAACTGAGAAATTGAACTATAAACTTACATCAGCTCATTTATACCTTTCTGAATTGAGCTTAGAAGTACAGTTATGTTAATGATCAACAAGTAGAGCGCTGCTAGTGATTTTGATTTAAAAACTTTACATTCCATGGATGAAAGTTGATGGAAGGCATGGGTGTGACTTTGGCACATCCTGTTATCCGACCAATTCCCTGTGAGAATGGGGATGACTTACTGTCGATGAGAAACCATCTGCTTGGATTTAATGTGCCTCTGCTGTAAGTTCATGATACTCTGGAGTTTCATACACTGACATATTCAGATGGCTTGAGGCTAGATATGAATTATGTGGCTTACCTCTTTTTCCCCGCAGATGTGACTGATGGTTGACCCTGAGGCCGGGCTAGAGGCAGGGCCAATCACTGATACCACACCCTTAGGCAGGATCTGACACACTGATGGAGATGAGGACACAGAAAAAGAGGTTAATATTAACATAAACTAAAATATTACAGTTTAAATTGTTTTTAATGTAATAATTATGACCATTGTAATAAATATGACTTGAATACTGAAACAATTATAAGCTATATTGTACTATTCCCATTGCTAGTATTGTCACAATAAGTTCATTACAGAAAATCTACAAATTAAAATAAATAGCTTCATCACACCCGTTCATTTGGAGCGGTCTTTTTTTTTTCTCCCTCTTTTAGGCATTCAAAGTAAAGTGGAAAATATATGTTTTTTAAATTAAATGCAGTGAAATGTTGACTAATTTAAAACTCCTCATATACTACTCAAATGTTCAGTATTGTTGGTCAGTTTATAATTGGGTTTCGTTCTTTGCAATACATGGTGTCATAGGAACTTAATGTAATGTTTGTTTGACTCTACAAAGGTTTCATATATATATATATATATATATATATATATATATATATACATATTCTGTTTTTAAATATCACAATTTCAGCAGGTAACACTTTTTTTTTATTAGATTTTGGTTTAATTAGTTTGGCTTTCCTTGCAGATGTCATGTATTTTTCCTCCGGTATATCTTTGTGCTCTGCTACTGAAGAAAACCTAAATGCCTGTCCTCTGGGAAGTCTCCTCTCATACTGCTGGCAGTTCATAATCAATAAACATCAGCAGCAGCTGCTCATTCAGAATGCTGCAAGCTATGAGGTCGCCATGACCTCGCTTCACACCAACGCTCTACACCTTGAAACGGTGAAACATCGCCATGAGCCATGCGTCCTTGTGTCCCTGCGACTTGTTCCATAGTGTCCCTCTAATAAACCGGAAAAGAAAATTACTCCACACCTGATATTGTATAATAACATTGACACAAAATTAAATTTTAAAAATACTAAAAAAAAAAAAAAAATTTTATCTGGTTTAGCTAAGGAGAAGTTACATTTGTCCAAAACTAGATGTAGCAGGAAAAGTTTTAGATTAGTTTTATATAATAGCAGTTTTAGTATTTACTTTAAGGCCACTAAAAATGGGTCATTTCATACATTTCCCTGTCACACAATAGACTACTTCCATTTGTTATCAAATAATGGAAGATTGACAGATTTCATTCAGCATGAATATCATCTCAACGTACAGTTGCAAGGTAAACAAATGCACCATAAATACAGACAGGCATTTTTTTACCGAAATCTTCAAATTGCTGCATTTTAAAATGCAGCGATAGAGTTGATTCCTTCCCACTATCAACGCAACCCACCCCCATACAGGGGACCAAAACATCTCGCCTGGCCAATGTCAGCCAGGCCAACAATTCTCCTTAACGACCCCCCCCCTTTCAGAGGCACAGACCTTCATCTATCATGATCCTAGGCCTGGGTGCAGGCTGTTTTTTTTCCTTTCTCTCTCCTCAGCAGGGCTGGATGGGCAGGTGCTCTTCATCTAGTTGATTACCACCCTTCTTAAGGAGCTGGAACCAGGAGGAGGGTGTCAGTTTGTTAATGCTCCTGTGTGGTACTAACTGATCTTTAACCAAAACTTGCTTCTAAAATTTTACCAGATCCTAACCCTGCTCTCCGTTTGCTCCTTCTCAGAACCCAGGATCCCAAGCCCGAAACCACTCCACAGAAATCTCTTCTTTCTGGACTCCTGCCAGAGGCATTTCCAGTCAGCCTCCAGGAACCAAGAGGCAACGGGCCTCTGAACTGCTTAAAGCCCTCCTGCCTGAGCTCACCTGCCTGTCAACCCTATGACACCAACCAGACCTGCACCATCCAACCAGGCCAATGGTCACCATCCTCCCCAAACTGATGCCAAGCTTCCCTCTCTGTGAGTTACAAACACCCCTCATCTTTCAAACCAGCACCAACCAGTTGCACACCTGTCACCTAACCTCTACCAGCAGAACCCAGAAAACCCTGCCAGCCGGACTCCTCTCTGTACAGACCTCAACCTTCAATAAAAGCCCTTAAACTGATCATTGCCTCTGTGGTTGCTCTCATTCAGAGTCTGTCAACCTAAAGCATGACATTAGCAGGCATTACAGGCTAACAAAGAACCCAACAACACCCCATTCCTAAGGCGCGGACATGTTCTTCCGGTTCAATTTGCATGTTTTCTGAGCAAAAACAAGGCTTTGTTTGGGGCCACTCAATAAAGCTTCAAACTCAACGCTAATTCCGATATTTTGAATTGAAAAAGCTTCCTGGATACAAAGAACAAAACGTCTTCAAACTTGGAAACAAAGTCCAGTGGATTGTTGTTGTTTTTCTGAACCACCATCTACAGTATCATTAAGGCCAGGGCTTCCAGTGGGATTCAAACACTCTCCTCCAAGCTTTTCAGATCAAGCTATATCAATTATAATTGCTATTGGAGTTTTTAAAGCAGCAGTTTTAAAGTTGATTTCAGTTGTTGAACACATCCAGTTCCTCAAAGGACTTGACCCCTCGTAAATTCCTTCCCGTGCTTGTTTCAGCCAAAAGATATCCCTTAATGAAAAAGAAAATCTGCTGTTAGGCACTACTTGTTCAAGGAAACTGCTGTAGCACTTCCAGCTGATGAATGGAGCTAGTGAAAGCTACATAGCAGTTACTGTTCAACACATGACTACTACACACTCGCTCAAATATAGCAGATGAACTAAAGGTGGAACCAATGAGTCCATATATCCTCATATTGTCAAGTTAGTTAAATGCTACTTTGCCATACCAGCTACCTCTGTCCCTGATGAGAGACTATTTTCTACAGCCAGAGGCATCAAAACCTCCACAAGGTCTCCACTTTCTGTAGGAAATGTGGACAAATACATTTAGTGCCAAAAAGCATGAAGGTTGAACGAACTTGAAGATGGCCTTGTAGGAACACTTAAAGATAGAAAATAGTTGAGACCATTCTGTTGCACTTGCTGCCGTCACTAATTTTCCAAAAGACAACGTGCTACTGTAGCACTTTCCAGAAAGGAAAAAAAAAGACTGCTACATATTTTATTTATTTCAAATTTTTTATGAATTTTTTTTTTACTGTATTTATAAATTTTTTTTATTTGTGAAACTGTGGGCATTTTGCATTTTTGCTTCATTTTAAAGGTTAATAAAGCTCTTCACGTTTACACCAAAGATGCAGTTTTATTTATTTTGCTTTTCCTTTCTTAGGATTTTTTTCAAAATCCTAAGAAAATTCTGAAAGACTACTACGTAAATGGTGTTCTAAAAATCAAGAATACATATCCAACCACACACACCTCTTCCAACTTGGTAAATAAAACCAATTCTGTTTTTGATTGTTATCTAAACTATGTCATAGTAGTTTAGTGTTTTCAAAAATATCACAGGTTGTAATACACCTGCAACTTCAAAAAGGTTTGAGGAGTGGTAGTCAGGTAGGGTAAATTATTGCTTAACTTAACCCTTTATAGGGCAAGGTACCATTTTTGAGTACTTGCATATCCTTTACAAATGCCCCCCGCGTCCTTCAGTGAAGTTTAGAAGCACAAGATCTATATCCAGCCATTCAGCAAAGACACTGCTACAGGGCTGTACATCTTATTTGGGCATTTGACCAATTAGATGATGTTAGGAATCCAGTTTGTGTGGTCTGTTTGTGTGTTTCCATCTCTCCACCACCCAGAGGTGCCCTGTCTTTGTTGGGCCTCCCTGCACACCTGCGGCTCATTGGACAATTATCTGGAGGAGTATTTGAGCAGTGGGCTGTCACTACCTCGACGCCAGAGTGTTTGCCAGTTTTGGGTACTCTAGCCAAGCTGAGATTAGCAGAGTCTAATCTGAGCTTTGTTTCTCTGAGACTTATGTTCTTTTTGTCTTTGTTCTTTGGCAGGAAGCCTTCCTGTATAACTGGATACCTGGACCTTCACCCCTGGAAAGAAAAATCTGAGTTCAAACTGAGCAGGTGAAAACCTCCACATGATCAGTTCAAGTTCCCATCGGAAATCAGAGTGACAGTCCGCTCCATTACTCCTCCGGGTCCTACGTTTGTCTACCTGTCCACTCTCCAATGTGTTCCCTACTCTCTGGATAATCCCACACAGACTGAATTCAAGGATTGACAAGAGCCCCCTCAAACGTGATTCCCCCTCCTGCATAAATGTAACAACATCCAAAATTCCCACGGTCTCTGAAATGATCTCTGTGGTCTTCCCTTCTCACTTCCAGTTCCGGTTCACCAGTTCTTTGATTTCCAGACTCAACGGCAGTTTTCATTTCCACAAATAAACCTGTTGCACTTTTCCCCTGGTTCTCTGAGTGGTTACTCTGTATGTGGGTCAGATTCCGACAAACCGATCATGACAGATGAGCCCTTGAATGATATATTACCTACTGTAAATTAAATTGGGAAAAAAAGTTAACAAGTCAAAAAAAAAGGAAAAAAGCTAAGTGAAAATTTGAAAAGTAATGTTAAAAAGTTAATAAGCCTAGTTAACAATTATATTTAGGTTTATAAACTAAAATGTTTAAGTGCCAGTATCAACATTAATGCTTCTAAGGTTAAGTAGTACCAAAAAATGTGTTTGTTTCACATTTCATGAGTGTTCTTGATGAAATTCTTATAGAAGCACTTTTGTTATTTTTCTTAATATATTCAGTCAAGTTGATGTTTCTTTGTTATTAATTGAAATTGACATTCCAATAACACTTAATAACACAATAAGACAATTGGATTAGAATTTTGATTTTCAAAGTATTTCATTGAATGCCTTATAAAGGTTTAATAAATTGACTGCTAAAGTAATAAATTACTAACTTGGAAATCGATAGAAACATTACACACTGGCAGTGCTGTTGATTTTAATTTCTCTTCTTCTAATTGCTCCTTCTCTAATTTCTCTCATAACTAAACATTATGAAGGCAGTCTGCAAACAATTTTAGATACAAAAACTGGATATTAAAAATATTCAAAAGGCTTACTTGTGTCAGTCGTCTCATATTGGGAATCTTTCTGTAGCTCGTAGACATCCACCTCTACCCTTGCCTGGGAGGAACCCTCCATCTGATTGTTAATATTTTCCCTGGCCAGAGCCAGCGCCAGGCGCTCACCGCGGCCACACAAAGACTGGTCATCCAAAATGGCCGCTGAGGGAATAGAGAAGCGGAAAAAAGAAAGTATGTTAAGCTGATGTGTTAATTATGGAAATAAAAAGGGATAATTTCAAAGGTGAAGTAAAAGCAGAACCAGCAGCAGACCTAGTGGAGTTTACAGAAGTTGAAACTGTGTTAAAAATATATATTCTGCCAAATGCATCTTGTCAAAAAATGTTTCTTTGAATAGAAACATAATGGTTTTAAAGTCTGCAACTATACAGTTCTGTACATTAAAATGCATGTTGATTACTAAAGTGCTAAAAAAAAAATGTTTAAGAATAAAGGAGTTCACAGAATTAAAATAAAAAAGTATTTAAGTTTTCAGACCTTAGCCACATAATTTAGAAAATGGTAAATGAAGACTGTATGCCTCAAAACCCTTTCAATACATGTATGAACTAGAAGTGTAACAACTAAAGATCTAATTGGCAAATCTTGTTGAGTATCTAGATTTTATTTGTTCTTTTGATTGCCTAATTCAGTGGCACCAAAACCTTAAAACCAACTGGTGTTTTAATAATACACAAAAAAATTGAATAAATAAATAAAAAATCCTTTATCACTTCTGATTATCTGGAAATCAATTCATGGAGGTGACAGGTCAGAATTAATTATTGTCATTTCAGAGAGTTATGAATATGTTTCTTAGTCTGCCCAAAATGTAGGTCTTAGTAACATCTCCTATGGTAAGCCAACAAGAGGCATCCTGACCCTGTAGTTTCAGCTCTTCTGATTCCTTTGATTCCTGTTGATACAGAATAGCAGTAACTCCAAATCCCCCCTCATTCATAGGGGCTTTCTCATTAAAGTGGTAACAGCGTTTAACTACACTGGTTCTAGCCTTCACTTAAAACTCATTTAGTTTTTTTTAGTCCAAGAGGTAATTCAGAGCCATTGTCAGCCCATCATCATAAATTATTTGGAGAAAGTTTATCTACTCTTTTTTCCTGCAAACAGGTTTTCTGGAATCGCCGCTTTAATTTCTTTTTTTTTTTCTCTCTCTCTCTCTGTTAATCCTATTTTAGCCTCCCATCAAGAGGAGGCTGTAAACAGCTCACAGTCCCAATCAGCCGATCTAGTCGCTATTCGATGCACTAAAAGAACTGCAGCTTAACATTTATGGCAGGCCTATTTAAAACCACCTGGCAACATTAAGGACCCACCAGCCTTTTACCTGAAAATACTGTCTATAAACACGACTCTCTGAAGAGCACTGACCTGCTTAAGTAATCCTGATATATTAGTGATTTCCGTTTGTGTTAATGTTGATAATTAGTGTTTAACAGTATTTTACCTGAAAAAAGAAACAGACAAACTGTAAAACTAACTCTTGGATTTTGAACATGAAAATAAAAATTGATTAATTGTTGATGTCCATAAGCCTGCACGTATCTCCTGATAAAAGAGCATCTTTCCGCTGACCCGCAATGCCAGAGCTTTTGGGATAAAATTTAAATAACTGGTGTTGAGCAAGAACTAATACCAGTTTAGTAATCAAAAATTAGATGACTGAGATCTTTACCTTATCTTTTAGTTTGAGCCAATGGGAAAATCAAATCAAAAAAACTGGAACCAAGAACCTGGTCCTTCAAGGAAGAAAACCCAAAAAAAAAAAAGAAAGGTGGAAATTAAAAAAAACTGGAAAACAAAAACCTTTCAAGGCAATTTAACCTTTAAAAAAAAGCACATTACAAACAAAAGAAAATAGAATAGAATTACCTTTATTTTCCATATTGTAGAAATTCAAGTGTAACAGTGGTGAATATGAGCAGTCAGAAGAGAGCTTCCAGATACATATAACACTAAATAATATGTGCATAAAAATACTTTTTTAAAGTCAACTGCACAGCAGAAGGTAAAAAAACATCTTGGTAGCAAAAAAATACTGTTTGGTTAGTCATAAAAATGTATATTTGGATGCAAATCAGAAATGTTCAAGGTTTTACCTCAGTATGCCTTTCTTATTAATAACCACACATTATTTTTTGATAACATTCCTTTCAGCCTTGTTAGTTTAGTTGAGGACACACATTTCCTCTTAAGTGGCATACATTTTTATGTATGCAGACAAAACAGCTATTATTCCTTTGAATACTAAAAATTATTACTATATCAAGCCATACAACCTTTCCAAATGACTCCTGGTATTCTTCTGCGTTGTTCTGATTCCAACATTCTCTTATTTCAGAACCAATCTGTTACTGTACTGCATGAAGCTGGCCAGTACTGTAATGAATGATAATTGTCATTAAAATGATTAATCTGTTGCTTAAATATAGTACAGATTTATTACTAGTGAACAGGTGCAGCATTGACAGGTGTGATCAAATTGGAAACTCCTAAAAAACAAGGTGTCCTCTAGCCGTTATAAATAATGATACATTTAAACAAACCGGCATCCTGTGAGAAAAGATAACATCAGAAGAAGCATGATGACAAACCAAAAATAGAATCTATACTCTTCAGTGCATCTGAGCAGCGAGCAGAGTAGAGTAAAAGCATATGTAAAGATACAGCATGTGAAACCCACTCATCAGCGTCAAGCTTCCTCCTACAAAAAATAGTAAAGAAAGAGGTACCCGCTGGCTGTGTACAGTAACACCTGCCATGTTTATTTTGGTTGCACCCTCCCCACCGACTTGTCTGCTTTGCATATTGAACCTGTGAGTGTGTTTTTCAGGAGTGGGAAGCTGCAAAGGCGTTAAGCACTCACAAAAAGCAGATGGAAAAGCAAAAAAAAAAAAGAGAGACCAAGATTTATGTTAAATAGACACTGTATACAAAATCTGAAAAGGAAAAATTTTCTTTATTCCAGCAGGTGAACCTGTAGAAATCAATCGGTCTAGAAAAAAAAGATAAACAGAGAAAACAAGATAAAAACAAACGAAAAAAATTACAAAAGCAACATTTTTAGTTATGAAAACTTTTCACTGTTCAACTTGAATGACCCAGCAGGGACATAAAGCTATAACACTGCAGGACAGAGACATCCCCAAGAAAATGACTAAAAGACAACAAAATATCTAAATAACAGGCAGGAAGCCTGCAGCGGAGACATTTGTGTGGTTTTGATTTGTGTTACTTGAATAATTAACGACTCTTGGAGTGAAGTGGCAGGCAATTTATCTCACCCTTCCTCAAAAAGACTGTTGAGGGTTTTTTCCTAGTTCAGGAAAACACAAAAAGCAGCAGATGGCTCATGTTGAGTTTCTCATGTGCCAAGAAAGTAATAAAACAGACTTATAAGGTCCTAATAAACTAAGATAACACTTTTGAGATCCTGATGACATGCATACCAGCAATGAAAAAAATCTACTCTATGGGAGGCTGGGATTTTTTTTTTTTTTTTTCACGATTCCGCTTTACATAAAAAAAAAATAAATAAATAAAATACCCTACCAGTAGAATATACTACATGAAAAAAAATGTTAGTTTAGCTTTAACAGCCTTGGTGAAATAGCTAACCATAAGCTATATACTTGGTGATGACAAGTCTGTAAACTGCTTCAAGGATGTGCTATAATTGGCTATCTATGTTGCCGCATTGTTAAAATAAAACAAAAACAAATAACTCCAAAAACAAACCTATGGCGTTTCAAACTATGTAGGATTGCAGTTACAACATTTCTAATTTACTATATTGAATGCATTCCAGCAGCCCTGACGAATATTTTAAAAAAGATTAATAAAGATTATTTTTCTAGTGTTTTATCACTGCTCTCTTTAACAGTGCAACTGCAAACAACCTTTGTTAGTATATATATTTTTTTTATAAAAGACTCTTATGTTTATTGATAATGAAGATATCCTGATGGTGTGTGAGAACCCATAAGGTAACTCATCAATTCATTTTCTTTGGTTTTGTACTGTTTAGAGGAAATGCATCCTGAAACCCATTTCCACTCCAAGGACCAATACTTGGCCAATCGGAGTATAAACAATGGCCCAGCAAAGCCAAACTTTTTAAAGTATATTATCTGATTCACTCAATGCTAAGTGACGGCACTGAACATGTATTGGGCAGAGCTTTTGTCTGTTTTTACAAATTAATTATCTAGATACAGTGCCAATAGGAAACTGTATTATCTGTACTCACCCTCCACTTTATTAGTATGCACAACTGTTTTATTGCCTTCTGTCACAAATACTCTACCACAAAGGTAAGTAGGAAATAGTTTGATTTACCCAGTTACATTCACTTGAGTAAGTTTTAGAAAAAATATATAATCATTAGGAGTAGCTTTACTTTACCATCTTTTTTTTTTAACTTTTACTAGTATATATAGTCTACCCATGATAAGTAAATTGAGCAATTCAAAAATTAGGTGAATCAGTAGATATGGTAGCTAAAAGTCCTTTACACTTCCCTTTGAATATGCATTATCTAGCGTCAAGATTGGTTTTATACAGTAAGTCTATGTTGAAAAAAAGTGTATTTTTTCTCCCAAAATTTGTCATATTGTAATCAGGTTATTTATTTTTATATTGTATTTCTTACTCCGCAATACCAGAATATGCACATTAGTCTCTGTCTCATTTGTTACATTAAACCAGATAGTGACTGGTTTTCTGCCCCCGCCCCCCCAAAAAACACAACTGTACCTTTCAGAGTGGCCTTTTATTGTGGGCAATCACACCTGTGCAATAATCATGGTGTCTAATCAGAATCTTGATATGGGACACCTGTTAGGTGGGATGAATTATCTCAGCAAAGTAGAAGTGCTCACTATCATAGATTTAGATTGGTTTGTGAACAATATTTGAGGGAAATGATGATGCTGTGTATGTGGAACAAGTTTTAGATCTTTGAGTTCATCTCATAAACAATGGGTGCAAAACCAGATGTGTTGCATTTATATTTTTGTTAAGTGTACTTGAGTAGTCAGTTTACCAGGTACTTTTGTACTGAGTATTTCCTCTGTGACTACCCTCTACCTTTACTTCAGTAAAAATGTCTAACAGTGTTAATTTTATTTGAGTAACATTTTTGG